CTTTTTTTTTTTTTTTTTTTTTGAGTTGGAGTCTCACTCTGTTGCCCAGACTGGAGTGCAATGGCTACTCCCGGCCACCGCAGCCTCGCCTGCTGGCCTCCGGGGATCCTTCCACCTCAGCCTTCTAAGTAGCCGGAATTACAGGCATGTGCTACCATGCCCAGTTGATTTTTTGATTTATTGTCAAGATGAAGTCTCGCTGCCCAGGTGGGTCTCGAACCCACGGGCTCAGGCGATCCACTCACCTCAGCCTCCCAAAGGCGCGGGATTACAGGCTGAGCCACCGAGCCCGGCTTGGCAACTTTTTTTTTTTGTATTTATCAGCTCATGGACATTGGGTTGTTTCTACTTTTGGAGTTTTTAAGAATAATGCTAGATGTAATAAAGTATTGCTAGCTGAAGCTAGTTTGACACGGTGAGAAAAACATCAGATTGATGAAAGATTTCACGTGCAGTCTGACTTAATTCAAAACCTGAACTCTTTTAAAGAAGAATAAAACATACTTTATAAGCAAAAAAAAAAAAGAATAATGACCATAGTAACAATTGTTTCAAGTAATAATAATTAATGGATGCTAAAATTAGTGGGTGAGAAGGCATTTGGCCTCAAAGCATATCTCCATAAGATACATAATAAAAATGGAAAATAACAACTTTACAATGGGAAAACCAAGCACACACCATGTTAGCTAAATGACCAAATTTAACGTGACCGATATCATGTGCTTTCTGGTAAAATGCATTAAAAAGGAAACACCAGGCCGGGCTCGGTGGCTCAGCCTGTAATCCCAGTATTTGGGAGGCCGAGGTGAGTGGATTGCCTGAGCCCGCGGGTTCAAGACCTGCTTGGGCAACTTGGCGAGATCTCATCTCTACAATAAATCAAAAATTAGCCGGGTGTGGTAGCGCACGCCTGTAGTTCCAGCTACTTGGAAAGCTGAGGCAGAAGGATAGCTGGAGCCCAGCAGGTTGAGGCTGCGGTGGCCAGGAGCAGCCACTGCACTCCAGTCTGGGTGACAGAGTGAGACTCCAACTCAAAAAAAAAAAAAAAAAAAAAAAAGAAAGGAAACACCACTTCGTTGGAATTCATGCCAAAGGTATAAAACCTCAATCTAATTATCAGGAAATACCAGAAAAATCAAAATTGAAGAAGATTCTATAAAATAATTAGCTTGCACTTTTGAAACTGTCAAGTTTAGCTGGGCTCGATGGCTCAGCCTGTAATCCCCACGCCTTTGGGAGGCTGAGGTTAGTGGATTGTCTGAGCCCGCAGGTTCGAAACCCGCCTGGGCAGCGAGACCTCATCTCTACGATAAATCAAAAAAATCAGCCGGACGTGGTAGCGCATGCCTTTAATTCCGGCTACTTGGAAGGTTGAGGCGGAAGGATCGCCGGAGCCCAGCAGGTCAAGGCTGCGGTGGCCGGGAGCGGACACTGCACTCCAGTCTGGGCGACAGAGTGAGACTCCAACTCAAAAACAAAACAAAACTATCAAGTTTATGGAAGACAAAGGAAGACTGAGAAACTGTTGAAGATTAAAGGAGACTAAGGGGCAAGACAATTAAATACATATTTAATACTGGATTAAATCCTGGACCCGGAAAAAAAATTTTTTTCTTTACTGTAAAGAATGCTATTGGGGCAAGGCTCAGTGGCTCAAGACTGTAATCCCAGCACTCTGGGAGGCAGAGGCGAGAGGACTGCCTAAGCTCATGGGTTCAAGACCAGCCTGAGCAATACCTCGTCTCTACAATAAATCAAAAAAATTAGCCGAGTGTAGTGGGGCATGCCTGTGGTTCCAGCTACCTGGAAAGCTGAGGTGAAAGGATTGTCTGAACCTACAGGTCAAGGTTGCAGTGGCCGTGAGCAGCGTGCCACTGCACTTCAGCCTGGGTGAGAGTAAGACTGACTCAAATTTAAAAAAAAGAACATTATTGGGACAATAGGCAAAATCTGAGTAAATGCTTTACTATATATAATATCACTATATTGTGATTTTGATAACTATACTGTGCTAATCCAAAAGAATAAATGTATTATTATTATTTTTTGAGTCAGAGTCTTAATCTGTCACACCCAGGCTGGAGTGCAGTGGCACGCTCAGACACTGCAGCCTCGACCTGCTGGGCTCAGGCAATCCTTCTGCCTCAGCCTTCCAAATAGCTGAAATTACAGGCACATGCCACCAGGCTCTGCTAATTTTTTTTTTATTTATTGTAGAAATGAGGTCTTGCAGTCGGGCTCGGTGGCTCAGCCTGTAATCCCGCGTCTTTGGGAGGCTGAGGTGAGTGGATTGCCTGAGCCCACGGGTTCAAGACTCGCTTGGGCAGTGAGACCTCATCTCTACAATAAATCAAAAAATCAGCCAGGAGTGGAAGCGCATGCCTGTAATTCTGGCTACTTGGAAGGCTGAGGCGGAAGGATCGCCAGAGCCCAGCAGGTGGAGGCTGTGGTGGCTGGGAGCGGCCACTGCACTCCAGTCTGGGCGACAGAATGAGACTCCAACTCAAAAAAAAAAAAGAAATGAGGTATCGCCAATTTGTCCAGGCTGGTCTTGAACCCATGAGTTCAAACAATCCTCTCAGCTCAGCATCCCACTGCATCCAGCCAAATAAATTTACTTTTAGGAAAAACACATGAAAATATTTATGGGTAAACGTGCATCACGACTGCAAAAAACTCTAAAATGATTCACAAAGCCCAGGCTCAGTGAGTCAGCCTGTAATTCCAGAACTTTGGGAGGCCGAGGCAAGTGGGTTGCCTAAGTCTGTGGGTTCGAGACCCCCTGGGCAACTTGGCAAGACCTCGTATTTACAGTAAATAAAAAATTAGCCAGGCGGCCAGGCTCGGTGGCTCAGCCTATAATGCCAGCACTTTGGGAGGCCAAGGTGGTGAGTGGATTGCCTGAGCCCGCGGATTCGAGACCCGCCTGGGCAACTTGGTGAGACCTCATCTCTACAATAAATAAATCAAAAAATAGCTGGGCGTGGTAGCGCGTGCCTGTAGTTCCAGCTACCTGGAAGGCTGAGGCAAACGGATCGCTGGAGCCCAGGAGGTCAAGGCTGTGGTGGCCAGGAGCAGCCACTGCACTCCAGTCTGGGCAACAAAGTGAGATTCCAATTCAAAAAATAAAAAATAAAAATAAAATAAAATAAAATAAATTAGCCAGGCGCGGTAGGTGCCTGTAGTTCTGGCTACTTGGAAGGCTGAGGCAGAAGAATAGCTGGAACCTAGCAAGTCCAGGCTGCAGTGGCAGGGAGCGTGCCACTGTACTCCAGTCTGGGTGACAGAGTGAGACTCCAACTCAAAAAATAAATAAATAAATAAAATTATTCAGAAAAAAAATATATGCATAAAGTGAAAAAGAGGAAGAAATGATAAAGAAACTGGCAAAAAGTTAATATTTGGGGATCTCAATGAAGCTTTTTTCTACGTTCTACATTTTAAAATGGTGTCTGCCAAATAGTTTATTCCATTATCACTTAAAACACAGCACAAACCAAATAGAGTATCAAAGATTAACTCTTGTTTATTACATTAATATTTTAATATCTTTCCCTCTCACTTCTCATCCTGGGCAACACCTTAATTACTCCAGTTAACATTTTCAGTGATACAGCATTTACCTAGAAAGATACAATGTTTACCTGGAAAGAATCCATGCAGACTGGACTGGAAGCCAGTTCCTCATCTACCGCATGCAACTTCTCCATGAAAGTACTATCCCTGGTCTGTTTTGGCTTTGGAGGGGGTGGGGGCCCCATGGGCACCACCTCAGCACTGATGTGCCTGATGGCAGGGGTGGTGACTTTCTCAGCCTGATTAAAAGAGACAACTGTGTTAAAAAGGAAGATGAAAAGAGAGCAAGAGAAGAAAGAAAAAGAGAAAGCAAGGAAAGGAAAAAGTGTAATAGAGTTTGGAAAAAGAGGTAGATATTCCATATGTTACTGTCCTTTTTCTTCTCATCTAGATAAAGGTACATAAAATCAGAGACACTGTCAAATACGTTAATCTAATTAGGTTTCGTCCTCTTTCTAGTAAAGCCAACAGAATGCTACTTAGATTACCAAAAAGTGGGAAAGCTCATAAAAGTGGCCTTAGGATAGTATTAGAAAACATGGTATGAGAGAAGAGAAGGTTAGGAGAAAAGAAATTCAGCTAGGTGCCTATTTTCGGCCCCTTAATGAAAACTCAGAAAACCTCTTTCCCTACCACTAAATTCCAGTTTTCTCTTAACTGTTTATTGACTTAAGGAACTTTGAAAATTCTGACAGCTCAGAATCAACACAGATAAATTTGCACAGTAAAATAACCTACGTAAACAGTTATGTCTAAGTTATCTTTTGCATGATGCTAATTTACCTCTGATAACATGCCACTCTCCTCATCTGTTTCAGTCATCTCTGAAGACTGCCTCAATCTGGATTTCTTTGCCCCACGTGGAGATGAAGCAGTGCTTTCAACATCACTTTCCAGTAAACTCTATAAAACAAATTCAGTTCACTTTTATATCTATGCCCCTACTTCATGCTACAGAGTCTGAAGTATCTCAAAAGAATGAATCATAAAATACTATTACCTAATAAAGTAAGAGAAAATAAAATTTAAATAAATGCTTAACATCCTAAAGGTGGGGAGAGGGATCGCTATCATTATCTGCATTATAAACTCTGTAAAAATGGGGCCGAAGCCGGGCTGGGTGGCTCAGCCTGTAATCCCGCGCCTTTGGGAGGCTGAGGTGAGTGGACTGCCTAAGCCCGTGGGTTCGAGATCCGCCTGGGCAGTGAGACCTCATCTCTAAAATAAATAAATAAAAAATCAGCCGGGCGTGGTAGCACATGCCTGTCATTCCAGCTACTCGGAAGGCTGAGGTGGAAGGATCACCGGAGCCAAGCAGGTCAAGGCTGCGGTGGCCAGGAGCGGTCACTGCACTCCAGTCTGGGTGACAGAGTGAGACTTCAACTCAAAAAAAAAAAAAAAAAAATGGGGCCGGGCTCAGTGACTCAGTCTGTAATCCCAGCACTTTGGAAGGCCGAGGTGGGTAGATTGCTTGAGCCCACGGGTTCGAGACCAGTCCAGGCAACTTGGTGAGACCTCGTTTCTACAATAAATCAAAAAATTAGCCAGGCGTGGTAGCACGCACCTGTAGTTCTGGCTACTTGGAAGGCTAAGGCAGAAGGATTGCCAGCACCCAGCAGGTCGACACTGGGGTAGCCGTGAGTGTGCCACTGTACTCCAGCCTGGGCCACACAGTGAGACTCCAGCCCAAAAAAAAAAACAAAAAAAAAAGAAGAAGAAGAAGATAAACTCTGGAAAAGCATAAGGCATTAGTCTAAAATGTTTGGCCCAGTACAGTGGGTCACACCTGAAGTCCCAGCACTTTGGCAGGCAGAAGTGAAAGGATTGCTCGAGCCCAGGAGTTGGAGACCAGCCTGAGCAACATAGTAAGACCCCATCTTTACAAAAAAATTTAAAAATTAGCTGGGTGTGGTGATATACACCTGTAGTCCCAGCTATTTCAGAGGCTAAGGAAGTAGGATCACCTAAGCACAGGTAGTCAAGGTTGCAATAAGCCCTAATCATGCCACTCCACTACAGCCTGGGTGACAGAGTGAGATCCCTGACTCTAAATAAAGAAATATATAAAATCCTTTTACAAACAATTCAAAGAACACATTAAGAAACAAGTCGCCGGGCTCGGTGGCTCAGCCTGTAATCCCAGCACTTTGGGAGGTTGAAGTGAGAGGATTGCCTGAGCCCGCGGGTTCGAGACCCGCCTGGGCAACTTGGAGAGACCTCATCTCTACAATAAATCAAAAAATTAGCCGGGCGTGGTAGCACACGCCTGTAGTTCCAGCTACTTGGAAGGCTGAGGCGGAAGGATCGCCGGAGCCCAGCAGGTCGAGGCTGCGGTGGCCGGGAGTGGCCACTGCACTCCGTCTGAGTGACAGAGTGAGACTCCAACTCAAAAACAAAAAAACAAAAAGAAACAAGTCAGGCTGGGCTCGGTGGCTCAGCCTGTAATCCCGCGCTTTGGGAGGCCGAGGTGAGTGGATTGCCTGAGTCCGCGGGTTCGAGACCCTCCTGGGCAAATTGGTGAGACCTCATCTCTACAATAAAGCAAAAAAATTAGCTGGGCGTGGTAGCGCATGCCTGTAGTTCCAGGTACTTGGAAGGCTGAGGCGGAAGGATCGCCGGAGCCCATCAGGTCGAGGCTGCGGTGGCCAGGAGTGTGCCACTGCACTCCAGTCTGGATGACAGAGTGAGATTCCAACTCAAAAAAAAAAAAAAGAAGTCAATAAACTTATTAACACATCAATGAAAAACAAAATCTGGCTAAAAGAGACAATTTAGATCTCAAAAGCAGAATTTTGAACCCAAAAAAAAAAACCAGGCACAAAAGAACAGATACACATACATGTGCTCATTTATATAAAGTTTAGAAACAGTAAAAATTCAACTACAGTGTGTAGAGATGCATATTTGAGTGATATGATTATAAAGAAAAGCAAGGATATAATTACCAAAAAAATCAAGATAGTGGTTACCTCCATGGGGAAAAAGGTGATAAGGATCAGGAAGGGCATATAGGGGATGTCCTGGTAATGGTCTATGTCTTTTTTTTTTTTTTTTTGAGTTGGAGTCTCACTCTGTCGCCCAGACTGGAGTGCAGTGGCCGCTCCCAGCAACCGCAACCTCGACCTGCTGGGCTCTGGCGATCCTTCCGCCTCAGCCTTCCAAGTAGCCGGAATTACAGGCGCGTGCTAGCACGCCCAGCTAA